ACATACCCATTTGCTGAACTGATGCGCACCTCTATATATAAATTTTGTAGGTATATTGTACGTGTATCTCGCTGGAGGTTCTTCAAAACCTCTCTAGGAAGCCGGAATGATTTGTGTTCGATCGGTCATCGGCTACAGCTTCACGACCTTATACTGGGTCATGCCGTGGGGACATTGGAATGCTTTCATCGCATTTTGCATGCACATTTGACCATCTTGGCCGCCATTGGTGGCTATCACATAAGATAGACTCGTTAAACCTTGCCCAATAGGTTCTTCTGCTTCGCCTTTGTGTCTTTGACACTGCCAGAACGGACCTGGGGCGCGCCCGCTTGAAGCGTGCCGCTTGAGACTTCAGACTCTCACTCGCCCTGAACTGTGCTTGTCGGGGGAATCTGCGAAGAGGAAACTGTTTTTTCTGTGGCTGTCCAGCTTTGGGAGTCGCAGGAGTCGCAGGAGTCGACATGTGCAAGCTTGTTTCTGCGGCCTTCTCCGGGCGCTTGACTGGAATTGTCTCCGCCAGGGCAACTCCCGACTAAGAACCCGCAGGCCATCTGTGTAAATAAATAAATGGGTATATATATATATGTATATATATATAGCGCGAGTTTGAAGCAAGGCCTAGCGAGATCCATTTTGTCAGGATCGAAGAAGCGCAGAAGTTGGAACATGTTTTCCTTTTGGCTTCCTTGAAACTACTTCCAAATATCCGGATGGCCAAAGAGCAGGGAGAGCCAGGGGGTTTGGAACATTGCTTAAAACATGGAAATGGAATCCCCCCACCCCAGACAAGTGGGTGTGTCTGTTTTTGAGGCTCGCACCTTAGTTTCAATTGAAAATCGAGAAGCAACGGTCCAAATCCGTTTCTTGGCCTGTGCGAAACGAAAAGTTGAGCCGAAGCCCATTTTGTGGGGCCCAACGCCGATTTTGACCAAGGCCGAGGGCTGGGCCGCCGCCATTGCTTCCCCCCCCAGGCGCCGCGCTCGTGTCTCATAAGAATCGGTGCCTATGAGATGATGAGCTTCCTGTTGGTCGCTCGTTGAAATCAGAAGGGGGCCTTTCCCACCATTTTGGGAAGCTCCCAAAGACGTGCTGAAACAGCACTTGCCCCTCAATTACACAAGAACCTCCAAAAGCAGCCAGTGAACCTCGCCGACACCTTGTTTTATTGCGGTTTTGTGGTGCAGACCGTGCAAAGAAAAGGCTAGTAGAGGTTGGTTCCGCCAATGCTGCCCAGGTTGGTCCAAGAACCGCGTTTGGCAAGGGGTGGATGGTGGTTGGAAGACCTTCCTAAACCAATTTTTGAGGGCCCACGTTGAGTAGCGAACATTTTCCGGGCAGAAAGCGAGCTTCTGAACCCAACGAACATTTCAGCGCGCGAAGTCATTGCCCTTCCGCAGGCCTCCAAAAAGGGTTCTATGTTAGGATTCCCTAAGTTAGGATAGCGTTTTAGGAATTCAGGAACTGGCGCAGATTCAGCGGTGTCTTCCAAATGCTTTGAGGCAATCGGCAAATTTGGCTCTGGGACTGAAGCGGGCACAGCTCCACCAAAGCTGATATGATGCACATTGAATAGTTTGTTGCCAATAGTGAAGCAAGCGCTTGAAGTAATATGCATGTGCCTATACAGATGCATACCCTGGGATTAAAGTAGCGCGGTTGTACTGTGGGTGGACCAAATCCTGCACCACCTAAGAATCCCTGGCATGATGATTCCCTTGTAAATACCAACAAACAATGGATTCCCATGGTTTCCAAGCGGTGCAGAATCTCGTCCACCCACAGTATCATGCTTCTATATGAGCCAGCCACTTTACGCCTCGGAGGGGTGTTTGAAGTCCTCCACAAGGTAGGCCGCTCGCTGCAGTGCCTGCGCCACGATCAGGCCTTGGCTCACAGACGTTTTCGCCCCCCAAACGTTCGAACAGTCCGACACATTACAGGGACCCCAGTTTCTTAGGAATTAGGGAGGTGGAGGCGTTCCCCTCCAAAAGTGGTCTGGTTCCCAGGGAGAAGAAACCAGGCTCTCCAACAAACCGGTTGTTGATCCATACGTCAGCAAACACCTCCGCTTAGGGAGGCGTTTTTCTTCCGCTTGCTGCCGCTCGCTTCAGGGCAGCTGACGCCTGCGTGGCTCTCAGTTCGTGCCGTGGCGTTTCTTGGCAACGTTTGGGGCTGAAAGGCCCGGTTGCCGTGGGTGTCTCTTAGGGCAAGCTACACATTCTGGGTGGTTATGAAGGGAAAAGGCGAGGGGCAAGTTTCTTACGTACAGATACCCGAACTAGGTTTTCCTTGTTTGTTTTTCTTTTTTGGGGGGTCTGAAACCTATGTTGACACATTCCCTGCTTTGATCGGTCGTGCATCACAGAAGTTTTGGGAATGAACATTTTGGATGCGTTTAGGAACCCCCAAGCGATGGTTTAGCGCGCGCTCGTTGCAATTACCGAGGCTTGTTCCAAGATGCAATTCGTTTTGATCCAACATGACGCGAAGGAACACCCTGGTTGGCCGGTGGAAAAGGCCATGGGAGAACTCCTTGCGGTAGTCCCGTTTCCTGGGGGGCTTAGTTCATTGGAAAACTCTTGAAGCAAGATTGCAAGGCTAAGGTTTGGCGGGATTGGCTGTGCAGCCACTTGAACTCTTCAAGACTTGGCCAGTGGCTGAAGGCTAGGGTCTCCTCCAAAAAGTATATTTTGGGATAAGCTCAGCGTGTTATTTTTGGAGTACCCCAAATGTGGGCTGGGCAGAGAGCAAGTGTGCTGCGACGATCATGCCTGTGAGCTGGTGAGCAGTGAGCACAGGCGCGCCCAAGTGCACCCCGGTCCGGCTGCGCGCTTCGCAGACATAGCCGTATCTTGAGTCCAACTATGCCGGTTATGTGTATCAGTACTTGGAACCTGGAAATCCGAAGGCGGAAGCTTGCTGGGTATTGCAATGCATGCGCGCAGCAAAGGCGATGAGCTTGAATTCTGATCCCTTCGGATTCACCTCGCTGCATGTGGTGGCGCAACTGCTGGCCAGGACCCTGCGGTGACAGAACGCATCAGAACGCACAGCTTGGGCTTTGGCGGGATACTTTGGCTTGCCTGTCAATGGCCTGCCCGACCGATTGACAAGTTCATCTACCGAGCGCAAGCTTTGTGCTTGTGGCCAACGGGGGGGGGGGTAGCGAGTAGATGAGTGGTCGCTTGCCAGCGCGCAAGCGGGTCACAAGTCCGTGGCTGCGGATGCGCCATGTGCCGCTTGCAAGCTCTCTTGCAAATCGCACCAATCGCAAATTAAGAATGAGCAATGCTTCTTCCCCAGAATTAGCTCCCCCTTCTTGTTTTTCTTGGCTTTTTTGGGGTCCCTTTGTTTTTCCCTAACCATCGCGTGGCGCCCGCTCGCCGGCTGTCTGTTCACTCTGAGGATTCAGAAGCCTCAACCCCCCCCCCTTTACCCCCCCCCCCTCTGGGCCAAATAGGTGGGCAGCTTCCGGAGATGTTTCAAAGCGACATTCTGCAACCTGAGGCTTGCATCTGTCTTGCAGAAAGCCATGCAGAGCTTCTGGCACCCGACTGCTGCGGGCATTTGCGTAGGGGATGGCAGTTGCACCAGAGAGGGCATGCCTGTGCCTGAGCTTCAGAATCTGCAAAACTGACCTCTAGCTCAAGCGCAGGGGCTTGAATGTGTGTCCAGTCAGAGAATTTGAAGAACTTCTTGTGAACTTATAGGCTTTTGCCAGTGCATTTTTCGCCAAAGGATGGAGCGGTTTGACTCAGAAGGAGCGGCGGTTGTTGTCTACAAGTTTGTGTCCGACTCAGCTTCAAATCTCGGCGCGCAGCGCAGAGCTGTCCTTTTCCTGTGCGCTGTGAAAGAAGCTTAGTCAGCTAAGTCCGTGGTATGGCACTAAAGATATGTATTGTTCAGGCCCGAGCTACTGAAATATAGGGTTGAGTACTCCGGAGCCGATTCCCACGTGAGGACAGTGTGCCCAAAGAATTTCAGGGATTGAGAACTGCAACTCCTGCATGCCCTTGGCACCCGCAAGCCCGAAGACCACACGGGCGCCAGCTCCATTTTGGAACTTGCGACCCTTTTCTGGGTGCCTGGAGCTTGGCTTAAGCTCAGAATATCGAAGGAGCTGAAACTGCCTTGGCTCGCAGGGCTTGCTTGGGGCTAAAGTTGGCCACTCGCTGTTGGGCGCACATGTTGTGGAATATGGGAAAAAGCTGCAGAGGGCACACGCTCGCCCGACAGTCCGAATCTTGTTGACAGGGCTGTCCTTCTCATGTGGGGCAAGCTTTGGTGTACCTAACCCAATAAGGGCGTGGACTGAGGTCAGCCATAACTCTGATTTTCAAGCCAAGTTTGTGGCAAGACAACTGGCACTAAAGATTTGCATTGCTCAGGCTGAGCAACTGATATTAGCCCGATTCCCACGTCAACGGACACTTCCCCCATTGTGTTTCCAAGGGGTGTCAGGGATTGAGAACTGCAACTCCAAAGTTGCAGTGCCCAGCCCGAGCACTCAATATTTCTGGCACATTTTTCTGCACGTTGTATTTAACATCCTGGGCTCCTCCTGCCCTGAATGTGTTTCTGGCCTGAGCACGCAATAAGCTCAGAAGAGCAGCAGGTTTGTCAGCAAGAAGGCGTTAAGGACAAGCCCGTGTCCACGCGCGGGCTCTGGCACTTGCATCATGGAAGATGAGCACTTGCCTTCGAGAGTAAGTTGAGGTGTCGCTGAATCGCAGGCGACTTGGAGCTTCTGAGTCTGTCAAAGCGCGTCTGTCACGAGTTGCCCAGCCCGTTGCTTGAGCGCTTGGTAGCGCCTGGTTGCTTCAGACGCGATGGATTCGTAGCTTTTGACCTCCGCGCTCCGCTGGCGTCATGGATGGGTGATTGTTTAGCGAGTAAGTGGGCTGTAGGTGCCTCGGTCTTCTAAGTCAAAGAATGTGTGTGAAGGCACGTCTTTCATGAGTTGTGGCCGCAGTCAGACACACCCAGCCCGCTGCCCTGTTGGCTCTTGCGTTTGTGAGCTCGTGCCCCTTGCTTCGACTCAGTCTCAACCTTTGCCGCGAGCTGGCTTCGGCTGTGCATAAATTCAGCGTGGCTCCACGCCGGGCGGGGTGAGCGCGTGGTCAGAAATTGGCGCAACTGCCAAAGTTAAGGCGCAATGATTAGCCTCGGACCACCCGTGCGATCATGCGCGTGCACCGTGCAAAGTTCATGGCTGCTTTGGAGATTGGATGTGCTTTGGTACTTGCAGTCTGTGAGTTTGGTGATGTTTCCCGGAGCGAACCAAGTCCTTTTCTTAGCAATGGCTGGCTCTATTTGCATGTTTGCCCGGGCTTGAACTTCACCTCTTTGCCCGGATCGCTCTGGCTGAATCAGCGCAGTTTGTGCAGTGAACGGCCGGAGCTCTAAGCTGTTTGGGTTCACTGCCTGTTGCCAGTGCTTTCAGGGTGAGCCTCTTCAGGTTCTGGCGGGCGTCTGGGACCCGAGTCGAACGCCGGCCCAGAGTTTTCTCACCTGGGAAGTCATGCGGAAGACGTGTACATGAAGGGCGTGTTGCCCGCCTTACAACCAGGTTGCGCCGGGAAACCCCGCGCAGGCCGCTCTGCATCCTGGCCTCAGTGGTGGCCCTCAAGACAGGTTTGCACTCGCGGAGATCCCGCCGAATGGCAAGCGCAGAGGGCGGTGTTGGACACTCCGCAACGGAATGCGCCGTTGTTGCCAAGCCGGGCGCGTACCGCACCTGGCGCGTTTGCCTGGCTGAGGCGTTTTCGCCCCTGCCCCCAAAGCCCTGCCTCGCAGGACACAGCATGCGTGCGGGGGCCCGCTAATGCCGTGCAAGTGTGGGGAAGGGTATCTGGCACTTGCATTTTGGAAGATGTACGATTGCCTCATGGAGTAAATGTGCTGCGGCACCTAGGCAAAGCTGTGTATCAAAACGCATCTGCCGGCCAACTGCCCTGTTGTGAGCGCTGGATCTTGCATTTGGGAGTTCATAGCTCCAGCTGTTGCCAGCGTTGACTTCTCTCCTTTGATCGCCCACATGCTCTGGCGTCTGCGACATGGAAGATGAGCAACTGCTTTGGGGACTTGATTGCTATTGGGTTGGATCTTTAGACTTTAACTTTTTGGAAAATAAAGGTGTTTTCCACTAAACCCCCCCAAAGTTAAACTTTTTGCAGGGGGGTCAACAGCAACCAAGGGGAGTAGCTGTGCAGTGGCGCCCGCTGCAGCGGCGCCCGTCGTGAGCAAGGAACGCAGGACAGACACTTCCAGCCTGCGAGCGAGCGCAAGCTCTCGCACCAGTGAGTGCGTGCCCGCGAACTCCATTCCGGAGCTGACTTCGGCTGCGCTATTCCTCAGCTCCTGTCCAGGTGCTCAGCGCCTGTCAAGAAATTGTGATCCTGATCTATTTCTTAAGTTACAAAGTAGAATGAACTGGCATTGATATGAAATCTTTTGTATATATTTGAAGACTACATATACAACTGATGGAATCATGTCTTCCACGTGTAAATCGCCCGTGAAATGTGTTTGGGTAAATAACGAACATCACTGAAACCACCTATGCAGATTCAATGACTGTGAGGCTTCTTCATGATATTTTTCATCATATAGTGGTTTCTGTTTCTTTGTGTTTTAATAATGATTTCTAATCCTTCTGGATGATATGCAGCAAGATATAACGCTTCAGTTTCATCATGAACTTTCATTTCTTCTCTTTGGCATTTCAACACAGGTAGGGTCATTATGAACGGACGGGCTAAAGATACAATCGCCATGAACGCAATTCTGATACACAGTTATATAAGCGCACGCTTTGCACCTGCCGAACTCGCAACAATTATACGTCTAAATGGAATGGATGGACCATGTGAATATTCAGATTGCCTATATGCATATGCAGATATGTCTATTGTTTTTACTACTGGAACATCAGGCATAATAGTGAATACTAAAGGATACCAGAAAAGACATAATATTCATCATTGAATGGAACATCTTTGCAAGATGCGAGATAGGGAATGTATCTTGAAATGGAACAGGCTTTCCATCACTTCAATCATACGTGTTGAAGATATCTAGTTTGCCCGCTTATGTGTTGCCCAGTGTGAGGAAGCCTGATAACCTTCCACTCGTACTCAAAATAGCAAGATGAATTACAATTTAAGATGCTATTATGTATCGATACAGTTATTCAGATTATGTTCA